TAGGCATGTTTGGGAATTAATCGGTAGTTTGACTTTGTGAAGTTTTATAAGTTGATATCCTCAAGATGTTAAAGTTTATGGGAATATATTTAAGTTATTGAGAATTTCCCCAGTTAGTCCCTTTAATTTAAATAAATTGATATCCCGAGATGTTAAAATTTACGGGAATGTATTTACGTTGTTGAGAATTCCCCAAATTAGATCATATAATTTAAAAGTCTACTTTTTTTTTTTTACCTTTTCATCTCTATCCTTCAAAGTTTTTTTTCTTTTTATTGGTTTAATCATCTTATGTCTGGGACACACTACTCGAATAAATTATATATTAGGTTGTATAAGATTCATTAAAAGAAAAAATACTTCTTATCAAGAGTTTCTCTATTTCCATAGCTCGGACCCAACTATTCTTCCATATATATTACTATATTGTAATTTGTCTAAGTTGTATAATGAGAAAGGAAAAAAGAAGTAAAAGAAAAGGCATGTAACTTACTTAACCAAAAGTTTATTTTATTTTATTTTATTTTACCTCTATAATTCCACAAACTTATCTCTCTAAAAAAACTATTTTTTGTAATAAAATAAATAAAATATGAAAATAATAACATATTAAATTATAACTTTGAGTTAGACAAATTCAATTTAATTAGAGATGTCAAAATGGGCTATTTCAGTTCAGTATAACATGTTTCACGGACCATGAAATTTGATGGGTTGGGGCGAATAGGCTTCACTTTTGAAAGTGCCTACAATAGCCAGCCCAACCTAGGCCTCATCTTTTTCAATATTCCTTTCTTTTCTTTTCTTTTTGAAAGAAATTCTTTTCAATATTAATTCGAACTTGAAATTCTAACATTTCTAACATATGATGATGTGTAATTAGTAAGTGAAATTTGCAAAAGCATAAAATTTTATATGATAATATGACAATATTACATAAAGTTTCATAATATTCAAGAAAGTCGACTTTATTTGCAAACAGAAGAGTTTAGTTGGTAATAAAACTTTGAAACGTTCAACTAAATTCTAAGAAATTCACAATCAATAATTAAAAAAAAGTAAAAGATACTTTGGTATTTAACCCAAACCGTGGACAAATGCAAAACACAATATACCTACTCAATAATCATATACATATATAATATATCGCTAATAGGAATTATTTTTTGAAAGGTTCCCAATAAGCCAACATGAACTGAAATCTTCTATTTTGATGAAGTTTTTTTTCTTTTTTTGCGTCAACAAACTTATGAGACTGTACAAAAACACAGTAAGTAATTTCAACTACGAGCTAAACAATGTTTTCAAGTAGATTTATTTCAAGAAACAATATCCCAGCAGTTCAACTTAAAAGACTTAATGTATGTGAGCAAGACTTGTCTCTTTGACGATTTCTGATTTTTTTTAAATTTTAAATTTGAATGAATTTTCTTTGGCCCATGGGTCTGCCCTGGCCCAACCTCGATCAAGCCTCCAGGATCGGCAAGCTAATTTGGGTCGGGCCTATAAACCTTACTTTTTAATGGGTTAGAAAAATTTTAACCCAATTGGCCTATCCAAGTAGTGGATTGTGTTAGACGTAAATATAGTATGGGGTGCCCTATTTGATCGCCCCTTTTTAATTTGTACCCGTTTTATTTTTCCGTTTGCATTCGTACCCGTTTTTTTTGTTAAAAGTATTTTAAAAAGACGATTTTGCCCTTCTTTAATAAACGACTATTGATAAAACTGTAGACTGCAGGACAAAACTTCGCCATGTTTTGGAATGGAGTTTTAGCAAATGAACTAAATAATTTCAGCATGCATTAGCAAAAACTTATTAGAAAATTACAGCAAGACTAAAACTTAAGCATGTTTAGTCTAAAATTTTAGTAAATGAACTAAAAAACTTCAGCTTGTTTAGACTGAAATTTCAGATAAATCTCATGACAAAATCGTAGACCGCAGGACAAAATTTCAGCATGTTTTGGTATGAAATTTTAGCAAATGAACTAAATAACTTCAGCATGCATTAGCAAAAACTCATTAGAAAATTACATACTGTAAGACAAAAACTTAAACATTTTTAGTTTGAAGTTTTAACAAAAGAACTAAAAAATTTCAGCTTGTTTAGACTGAAGTTTCGGATAAAACTCATGACAAAACCGTAGACTGCAGGACAAAACTTCAGCATGTTTTGGTATGAACTTTTAGCAAATGAACTAAATAACTTCAGCATGCATTAGCAAAAACTCATTAGAAAATTACATACTGCAAGACAAAAACTTAAACATGTTTAGTCTGAAGTTTTAGCAAAAGAACTAAAAAACTTCAGCATAATTAGACTGAAATTTAGGATAAAACTCATGACAAAACTGTAGACCGCAGGATAAATAACTTTAGAATGCATTAGCATAAAGTTTTAGCTTCAATGTGAAAATTTTCACGAATGAAGTTGCAGATCACGCGATTAATGCGTGATGTAGGTTTTATATCTTTTGTCAGGGGTATAATTGTCATATTATTACGGATTCTTTGTCAGCTGGCTACCAAATCAATAATTTTTAAAAATAAGGTATAAGTTAAAAGATGGCACAAATATATGATACTGCTGCAAATCCCCGTGTTAGACTGACCTCATGGGCGAAGCCTATTTTGATGGTTCTAAATATAATTTATTATGTCTAAGGTGTTGATTGAAATTGGGTGAATGGTTTCAAGTGATAAAGCTTTTACGGTTAAGGCATAATAATGTTACACATACTGAACTATTACTGCAAAAAGATAAATGAAAAGCTAGTAAAAGAGAATGCAAGCGCAAACTAAAGTAGACAATATAAAAAGAGTCCGTTTTCAATCAATGACCAATATAACCTAAATTAAAACTTCCTTCGTAAGTATTCTTATTTACTTCTCCACCTTAACTACATAAAGGACTGTTTTGCTAATTGATTAACTAATTATTTGAACTAATAATATCTCTCGGTATATTTTCCTGTCACCCAAAATATAAGAAAGCGAAAGGGAACATATAATATCTGCAATATTTAGAGCATATATGGTATCCCAATATTCTATACCACACTTGTACATGGACGGAAACAATAGAGTCCCAATTTGTTCACAGTTGTACACGGACAGAGGCAATGGAGTCCCAATTCTTTCACAATTGTATTTTACTAACGGGTATCAAAATATAAAGAATATAAATCCAAAAAAGCAAGGGGTATCAATATGTAAGTATATACACACACATACACATTAATTTTATTTTTTTACCTAACTATACAGTATATCCGACGAAAGAGTGTCTGATACCCCTGCCACTGCATACACAGACAAAAGCAACCTATGTAAAAGCGCATAGACGCACACAAAAGGCAAAACAGACACATACACGCACACAAATATGAGGAGGAAGAAGTAGTTAGACGTTAACTTAAATAGCTATCCACCCAATAACTTATAGTCTAGCAGATATATATTTATGTATAATCAATGTATAATATGTATATAACTGTATATAATCATTGTATAGGCTACTTGAGAAAAGATCCCGAACTACTATTTATAAGAAGGGCTCGTTTCCATCTAATGGTACGTTTATTTAGAACAATATTAGGTAAAAATTGGACTAATTTGATACTAGAATTATATATCATACCATTAGATTCAGGGGCGGATCCACGTGCAATCAAGGGGGTTCATATGAATCCGCTTCGTCAAAAAATAATACTGTATATATATGTATATCTTCTCTTTCTCCGAAGATATTTCATTATAAAATATATATTGAACTCACATTGTTTAAGGAAAAAGTCCAGCCCAATGGTGAAAAAGTTCAAATTTTAGAAGGGTCTTGAGTTTGAAACCAATTAGCAACATAACATGCACGTACTATTCTTTTCCTATTTAGATACAACGACACAAATTCTTTTTTTGTCTATTTTTAGAAGGGTCTTGAGTTCGAAACCAATCAGCAACATAACGCGCACGTACTATTCTATTCCTATTTAGATACAACCACACAAATCTTTTTTTTCTCTATTTTTAGACTAGGAAAGCTTTTTTATATATACACAATTAGAGAAGGAGAACTACACTGTTTTACTTCTTTGCCTTAATTAGTTTGTGATTAGATTTTTATTGCTAATCTAGAATTATTAATTTTTTTAATAATTTGTGACTTTCAGTAAATAAATTGACTGCCTTCTTAGTTAATTAGTTTGTGTAGAGCCATAAAATTCTATTCCATTTACTTTTTTTTTCTCAATATTCCATCAATTTGTGTTTACATATTCTTAATGACTTAAATTGCTCTTTGCCAATTAATCTAAGTTTTAAGTTAGTTACAATGAAAGTATCATGATGTTAGTTAAATTTGAGTTTAGTTTAATTCTTGTTTGTGATGCTTTAAGTTTAAATATATTTATTAAATTATTGTCCTAATTTGAATTTTTAATTTGATAATCAAAATTTAAAATTTGATTTACTTTTCAGTATCTTCCAAATTGCCACAATCAAGTTCATACTCTCAAATTTCTCCTGTATGGAAGAAATTTTGAACCAATTAAAATAGCAACCCCATTCTTCTAACAAAAATAAAGGCAAAAAGTAAGTCTAAATTTTTTAAAAACTGATCCAAAAGAAAAAATATCCATTAAGGACTATCGTCCAAGTGAGCTTGACGAGTTTAGAAGAGCATGCCTCCGATAGAGTCCTTACCAATCCCGAAACCATAAATTTCCTCAAAGAAAATAGTTTTAATAATGTATTTTAATTTTTAATGTTAATAACAATTTATTTTGTTGAGTTCTTAATATATTTCTTCTTCACGTGTTAAACTCGCTTGATGAAAATAGATTACTCGTAAAACATAACAACTAACACACAAATATTCATGGATGCAACACTACTTTAAACATTAAACTGGCTAACATAAAATTTTACTTCAACAATTTTTAATCTATCTAATAAACGAAACCATAACCCATCCAAATTTGTCTAAATTTTCAACAAAATTAGGAAAAAAAAGGAGGATCAAACCTTTCTCCAAATAAATTCATGACCTCAGAAGTTTTAATTTTCCTCTCTAAAATATTCTTATTACCAAAAATATACTACTTCTAAAACAAAATCAAAAAATAATATAAAAAAAAAGCCAAAAAAAAAATAAAAAAATTTAAAGAAGTATTTCTCTTCTTTTTTTCCTTCTATTTTCCTTTTCCTTGCAAACCAAGTTTTCTCACAACATCTCTTGTGATCTCCTGACACAACGTTTAACTTTCTTCACAAACTCATCCCGATTATCTCTCCATTCCTTAGCAGCATCAACATTCGCCGGAGATTCATCGTTCGGACTCGAAAGCATCGATATAATACTCAACATAATACTCTCAACCGTATGAACCGGCGTCCAACGTTCACTAGCAAGTTCATAAAAATTCGGATCATCACCGGGCGGGTGTAGAATCGATATACAAACCCGACCGTCAGAATACACGTTAGGATGCCAGATTTCAGTCGTGAATTTAACTTCCGGTGGGTTATTTGGATAATCCGGAGGAAAAATCATGGTAGCGTTAAAAAAACCGCCGTCAAATAGGGTTTCGGGTGGACCAATAATGGTAATGCTCCACTCGAAAACGTTGTTTTCGTCGACTAAACCGGCGGAGAAACCGTCAACCGGATGCCGGTTTAGGTCTTTGAGTTGTTTTTGGAGGAGAAGAGCGGCTTGTGAAGCCATTGTTTTACAAAGAGAAAGGGAAAAAGAAAAGGTAGAGAATATGAGAAGAAGAGTCCTTCTTTTGGGAGCTATATATATAAGGATGGATTTTTTTTAAAAAGATATTGTTTTTATTTATTTTTGAGTGAGAGTAAGTCCGTAAATAACTGGGAGATGAGAGGTAGAAAAAAAGGAGAATTATTAGTTGAATGGGAATCTTACACCTAAATAATGTAAGATAAAAAAAAACCTTAATATGAGTAAAAAAGATTCCATTGGAGAATGGGAAGGAAAGGAGTAGTGGGAATTAAACCCGCGCCTATAATATATTCCTAGTTTGTATTAAATTCTAATTTTACTTTAACTCTAATAAATATGGAGAGAAATTAATTTGGTGAAACCAGAAGAAATAATAAATTAAAATGAAAACATAAGTAAGAATAATGTAATCAAATTATTTTCAATTAGTATTTTTTACTTGGCGTCCAACATGATATACAAGTCAGACTTCTCTATAACAATCATCATCTATAACAGTCATCATCTATAACATCACTTCACTATAACGGTTATATATATTTTCTATAAAAGCACTTTACTATAGCATTCAAAAAAAAACGAAGAGGTTTAATTGTATATCACAAATTGGGAAAATTAAAAGTTTTTAATACTTGAAAGAAAGATTTAATTTCTTTTTTTAAACGACAAATATTTTGAAATAACCATTTATTTGTAAATGTAACAAGTAAAAACGGAACAGAAGTACTATATTTTCCATTAGTTTGTTATAAAAGGAAGATTGATGTCAACATTAATACAGGCGAATGCAAACCAATTATGGATCCAATTTTTATTTATTTATGTCAAAAAGAAGAGAAACATATAGTTACGTTTAAAGGGAAGTTGGGTGCACTAAACTTCCGCTATGCGCAGGGTCCGGAGAAGGGCCAAACCAGAAGGGTTTATTGTACGCAGTCTTACCCTGCAGTTCTGCAAGAGGTTGTTTCCACGACTCGAACTCGTGACCTCATGGTCACATAGTAGCAATTTTACCAACAACATATAGTTGTATAGGACAAAATTAGTTTATATTAAATGATCAAATGGTAGCATGACACATGGAACCGGAGACATGCGGAAGACAAATCAAGTAAGAACTAAGATCGAAGACAACAACTGAAGTTGGTATCGGATAGACCCCGAAGGGAGCATAATCAACGGGAGCAGGTCGAATGTTTGTCACCTGATGACATTTAATGAAGAATATTCTCTAGTATTAAATAGGCAGCCTTTGCAAAGGATTTTGGCATTCATGACATGTCGTTACACATTCATCAATGACACCTTTTACTGTCAATTAAGAAGAGCTTGATCTTAGGATCTTGTTTCCTAGGTGTAGCTATAAATAGTAGCTTCAACAACCATTGTATGGATACAAAATGTCACACCCCAAACCTGGGGAGGCGTGGCTGGCACCCGGTGCCGTACTGGCCCGAGTAAATCACTATGTAACTCTCTTTTTTTTTACTAACTATCATGAGCCAACATGGCCACAACTTGTAATGCATAAACTATAAGTGGGCAAACGTTGTATCAATGAACCATCTTTCATAAAATATGAATACATATGGGCCGTCAAGGCCTCTGATATACTGTACAAAATTAACCTCTGTCTACAAAGCCTCTAAGATTATTTGACATCATATGGGATAGGGTACCGATCTATCCATAAGTCTGTAGAAAAACTCTGACACGATGACTTATAGACTCGGCTGCACTCTGAATGAAGTGGAGTCTTACTGATCCTTTGTTGAATGCCAATCTCGTCTACTATGAGGGTTCGTCGAACTGATTATCTATACATGCAGGCATGAATGCAGCGTCCCCAACAAAAGGACGTCAATACGAATAATGTACTGAGAATGTAAGGCAGAACTGAAACATAACAATAAGTCAATATTAATTAAAGACATATAAGAATCAACCTGAATCTCTAAAGTGCCACCGTATATGCATACTTATTATACTTACATATATACAATGCTTCTCTTTGAAACTATTATCCATATCGTATGATGCATGACTGCCCAACTGATCAGTGGTAACTGCCCGACATGCCGTAGATTGGTGGTAAATGCATAACTGCCCAACCGGTGGTAAATAATAATACATAACTGCCCAATCGATGGTAACTGCCCGACCAGTCGTAACTCGGTGGTAGATGTATAACTTCCCAACCGGTCGTAGCTCGGTGGTAAATGTGTAACTGCCCGACCAGCCGTAGTTCGATGGTAAATGAATATGCATGTCTGCCTAACCGGCGGTAAATAATGATACATAACTGCCCAACCTATAGTAATTGCCCGACCGGTCGTAGCACGGTGGTAAATGCTTGAAGATGCATGTACATGTATCACTATATTATAAATATTAACTTCTCTATCATATACCACACACAACTTCATTCAACATTTTAATCATATTTATTACATACCATTAATTCTATTACTTATTACACGTCATTATCTACTATCACAATTAATCAAAATCAATTATCTAAAACTACACCACAAAACACCTAATTCCATCAATATCATACAGCCTTAACACGTTATAATTATACTATATTAAACTATATATACAATCGTATATCTTTTATGTTAGTACCCCAAAAGTTGTCAAGATAGCCATTGTTAACAGTGCAATTATCAGTCATGACAATATGTGGTAATTGTCTTACATTAAGTTGAATGAATTTCATCATAGTATTTATACAATCATACATATCACAACGTCAAACTACCTATATAACTAAACAAAACTGCATTATAAACCTTTATTATGCATGAATTATTACTTCAAAATCAATCTACAATAACCTAACGATATATTATAATCAAATTGATATTTTATAATATTTTTGTTGTAACAATATATACTATATTATAATTCATTATGTTATAGTTCATAATCAATTTTCAAGTGTAACTTGTCACAAACAACCACAAACTATAATATTAATATGTTTTTATAATCAATTATTGATCTCAATATGACTACTCTGCTATTAAATATCATGTAATAACACAATAGTATAAGTCTAATATTACAAATAATCATGTTATATTTGTTCATTATATGCATATAATTACTGCATGTTTAGTTAAACTATAAAAACTATATTTATAAACAAATCCCAACACATATATTTGTAACACAAGTTCTCTGTCATATACCTCAATAGGGACTAGGGACATACGTAGACATGCTTGAATATCACTTTACCGGAAGGAATAACTTAGGTATCCTTAACTGCTAAGAGTAGAATCACTTATGGAATAGTATTACGTTTACGTATCGTTACTTGGATCATGCCAAAAAGAAAGAAGGGATAGCCTTGACATACCTAGAGTAGGAAAAAAATTCATATGATATTTTTGGAAGAGATTGCACAGTACTCCTTTAGAATTGCAAAATCTCACGTTGTTTGTGTGCTAATAATTTTCGTTAAAATTGTTTGATTGCAAGACATTTTGTTGAAAATTTTGTAAGAATCTCTAACGCCTGATTGTGGTGTACTGTAAGGAATGTGTAGGAATTTTGTAGGAATTTATAAGCATTTACGTTGCTAATGTGCAAAGCTCACATCTGAATTGTAGTGTCTTGTAGTTAATGTGCAAAAGCTAATGTGCAAAGCTCACATTTGTAGGAATTTGGTAAGAAATCATATATGGTGGTAGGGTTGTTTGTATTGAAGTGTCTTATAACTAGCATTTTAGGTTGCCACCTAATCAAAAGGGAGTAAGAGTCATTTGTTTGGTTTAGTGGCTTGCTGCCACGTGGGGTGGGGGTGGGAATATTAATTTTATCCAATAATTAATTAATTAATTAGGTAATATTACGCTACCCGGTAATTAACTAATTACCCACATAAGTAAGAATTATCTTAAAATATTACCCACTTTTAATATACTATATATATATCCTACTATCATGGTCATGTGGTACCATATAAAATCAATGCATACACTATTATTTCATTAAAACATCCATGTAAAAATACATATATTTTCTCAACTTATAATTTTCCTAGTCTCATATAAAAAGTACAAATTTTCGTACGCTTAATTCTTAAAATGGTAAAAAGATAACCTTCTTTTCTTGTGAGAAAATAATTTCTATCTTTTACAATAAAGAAAATCTCATAAACTTCCTCATATCATGTGTATAATTTAAAATATATTCGAAAGTAGTAATATTAATAACTATATAAAATTATATTTTTCAAATTTTTTACAAAAATGTTCCACTCAATATAAATACCATATCAAAATGTATTTAACGGTATCAAGGTTATTAAACTTACGGGGTCTTATGGTCACAAATCCTCTGTAGAAAAGTAAGGGATGTGACACAAAATTTCTGACAAAACTTATGCTACATTCCATTCTCAAGCTAGAGAATATAACTTTACTTTCTGTTTTATATTACTATTATTTCTGCCCTCGGAGGCATCGTTCCCGGCGCTAGATCTGCCATTTCCTTTAATTTTTATGCTAAGTCTTATTTATTATTTATGGATCAAATCGATTCGCTTATCTATAAACCACGCAACAAATTCAACTATACCATTTTACAGGTAAATAGTTTGGCATCCACCTTGGGGCTTAGACAGTTGCATAATTGAGTTGATCCCTGCATCTATTACTAACTCGTTTAATTCTTTGTTTCATAGAACAAATTGAAAATGGCAGCTAATGATGTTAACATCGCACATAACGTTGAGGCGCACGAAAATCTGCCTCAACATGAGGATTCAATCAGCGACACCTGTAACGAGGGGGATGTGGCAACTCTGGTACATGGCGGACAATATCCCTGACATGTGCGGGAAGCGACTCCCGATGATGCGGAGGATGAACACGTTGCGAAGACAGTAAGGATCTTGAGAGAGCAACAAAAAATTATAATGGGCCATCTCTCAAGGCAGGATCAGGTCATGACGGAATAGAAATTATCAGGTGCTTCTAACAACATAAACGGAAGAGGATCAATTCCTCTTGGCACT